TATTGCCTTCAATGTTGCTTTCTGTCCAACTTGACTGTCAAATAATTAAATTATTGTCATTAATTATTAGGTTGATGCTGATTTCTTTTTCATATTCATATGGTCCGCTCTATTATTACAAGTCAATACTGCTAAACTATCTCACTGCCAACTGATCAACACTTCCATATCTTTTTTTTTTAAGTAATCTGCGTACTCTTTTCAAATGAAATTCTAATTTTTTTTTTTTTTATGATTCGGGTATCGAGTCAGTTTATGCGTACTTCTTCATAATCCCGTAAGATCTAGAACTATGATCGAGTAAGAGCTATATGGCTACCCATTAACAACTGAGAAAGAAACCAAATTCAAAACCTCTTGAATAATATACTTTAGAGTATTTGATGAACTACTCAACAATCAAAAAGTTCTAATTTTCCATTCCAGATAATATGTTGACTCATGTGGCATTTATATAATCTTTAAACACTCAACTACTTCTCATTTACACAACAAAAAAACCACGTAAGAGAACACAGGTAATTAAATCGATTAAGTAAACTTACTCTTTCAAATTCCGTGCAGTTTCCTATCGAAATCAATTCATTCACCCCACAAGAGATATACCTTCTGCAATTAATCATTAAATATAGAGACTTCATTATGAATAATTGACTAAGATAATCGTTTAAATTATTTTTTTATTTCCAAACCCGGGTCCCTGAATATCTTAATCGAGATAGCTCAACTAATGCATACTAAATTTAAGCATTTACTAAATCCATCACCTGATTGCATTAAGATTACGTCTATCGTTTCTACTATACTATTATATCTCGGCTTCAAATAAAATATTATCTTAAACAGAACAGATAAGGGCTTCGTTTTATTATTATTTCAAAATTAAATCGATATCGAAGGGGGAACCATATTTATCTTTCAAGTCTTATCGAAGTATGAGAATCGATAAAATATAGTTGACATTTCGCTAAGTTATTACATTATTTGGATATCACTCATCATAGAATTTAAATAATTTTTTTTTCCATAGTGACGTTAGTATTTTGTCTTGGTGACTAGAATGTCGCGATTGATATATACAATGATGACATCTCTACGCCAAAATTGATCACAACCTAGTCCCAAGTCCAAATGAAATGGCCAAAAGTAATAGTTAATATTAAGAGTAAACGACTTTTTCCCACCCAATGTTGTCTTATGACACTTTCCCAACCGAAGTTTATAATTTGTTAATATCCAAAATACCCTTCACTTTTCAGTTGTCATTCGATGACTTACTAGAAGCAGATAAGAGAGTGTTTATAAAGTAAAGCCGTTGATCAATGGTTGTGGTCGATTGAATATTATCGTTGTAAATCAACTAAGAACAAAAACTCTAACTTTGCAGTGCCGACAATCGATAAGAAATCAAGTATTAGAATGTGAGAAATTTTATAGACAAGAGCTGGATATTCAAATAGTGGTGACTGAAGGAATTTTTACTATTAGATCTGTTTTAGTTAGACTGAATATTACTTTGGATAAAATGTATTTTAAAACTTTTTGGATGGGAAAGTATCGTTAGGCAAAACCTTGGGTGGGAAAAAGTCGTGTACTCTTAATATAATTTGCGTACCTGTGGATAATGAGGGATAGTAAATTCCCTATCCTTAAACCAGAGCCATCTAGAAGTTCAGTTTTCTCTTTCTGTGATAGACATTCATCTGCCCATTTCATAGTCAAAACTCAAACATTCAAATAACCACCCTATTATTAGCTAAGCTACAACTTCAGAGTATGTAAATATGGAGATATCATCATATTTTGGGACAATAGATATTTGTATTAAAGAAAAAAAGACTACCTCCAAAATTTCTTTGTAAATGAATTGGGGAAGTCTTGGCAGATTGTAAGTGGCGATGTCAAGGAGAGTCTTCGTACCGCGGCGTTTAGGAAGCAAGTAATCCGGCCAGCTAAGAGAAACCAGATTCTCTGAAGCGCAGCATTGGCTGACAGACTCCGTTAACGCCCATGACTGAGCAAGTCACCACCATCGATTCAACCAAGTCAGGGTACATCTCAGCCATTTTGAAACGCCACCCACCCGCCATAGCTGAGCCAACCAAGGTGCACCTCTCCACGCCGAGTTTCCTCGCCCCTAGCCATACAACTCACTTTGAACTCCATGTCCGCTCAGTTTCAGATGAAGTAATAAATAAACTTACTCTTTCAAGTTCCATGCAGTTTCCATATCGTAAATCAAATCATTTTCACCCCACAAGATATACACCTTCTGCAAAAATAAATTTAAATTTTATATATTAAATGAATGTTAAGAGAACTTTATTAATTGATGAGTAATTAAGGACATAATAACTAAGATAATTGTTTAATTAGTGCTTATGGCTAATGCATACTGAAGTAGGGTTGCAATCGAGCTGAGCCGAACCGAACCGAACCGAGTATTGAGAAGCTCGTGCCCGGCTCGGCTGGAATAGTCGAGTGTGCCGTTGACAAAAACTACACCATTATAACAAAATAATTGCGTACCTGTTGGTAACGAGGGATAGTAAATTGCTGATCACTTATTACCAAAGCTTTTAGAAGTTCAGTTCTCTCCTTTCTGTGGTTAAACATTTTCTGCCATCATAGACCCACTTCATAGTCAACACTCAAGAATTCAAATAAGCACCGGTTATTAATATATGTTTTTTAAGCAAAAACCTAAAGATTAGGGAGGGGTGATGTATGCCGGATCCAAACACATGATAGATGGGTTCCAGAGCTATTATTCACTTTGAGCCTCAGTCCCGTACGGTTTTGTTCTAAAAAGGCATCTCTGGATAACAAGGGTGTCCTTATGCTATATAAACGACCAAAACCCTCGTCAAGGGCCAGACACATGGTGTGTGGATGTATGCTCCTTTCTAGCGTCAACTGCTCATGTATGTGTGGATGTGTACTCCTTCTAGTGCTAACTGTTGATGTATACTGGATCCAGACATATAATATGTAGGTTCCCAAAGGTATTGTCTACTTTAGACCTTAGAACCCATACAGTTTTATCCTTAAAAAGCATCTCTGGGTAATGAGAGTGTCCCGTGCTATATAAGGCGATCAGAGTCCTCATCTACTAACGGGTGGGGGCCTTTGACGCCAACAAGGAATAATATTATTGAAAAAGGAAAAGTATGAAGACATTAAAATACAATTCAATACAACATAAGGAAAATCTGTATTTCGGAAACTCCAAACTAAGTATATTGTGAATATCGGAAGCAGGTTCATCTCACCTTTTCATAAAAGAAGATCCCAAATAAGCACCAATTAGCTAAGCTACAACTGTACAATAAAACAGTGCCGCGTACCTCCAAAATTTCTTTGTAAATGAATTCGGGCAGTCGTGGGAAGCTGTAACTGGCGACATCAAGGAGAGTCTTCACACGCTCAGCTGTTTCAGGAAGCAAGTAATCTACCCAGGAAGAGAACCCAACTCTATGAAGCGCGGCATTGCTGACAGAATCAGTCAACGCCATGACTGAACAAGTCACCACCACCGACTCAACCAAGTCAGGGTACATTTCAGCAATTTTTAACGCCACCGTCCCTCCATAGCTGAGCCCAACCAAGGTGCATCTCTCCACTCCGAGCTTCCGAAGCGCCTTACCCATACACTCACTTTGAAACTCCACTGTCCGCTCAGGTCGGTCCGTAATCGAGCCGCCAAAGAAGAGAAAATCCGGAACGTACACAGAATACGTTTTGGCAAAGGCTAGAACCTGGAATTGCCAAGTTAGAATACCATTGAAGCCAAATCCGTGAAGAAACACCACAGCTGGCTTGTTGTTAGTTGTTTGAGTTGGAAGCCAGAAGTTTAAGATCGTCCCTGGCTCGATCTCGACTTCTTGAGTTGTCATCCCAACTAGCTTCACTGCCCCATGCAATAAGGATTTACATATCGAGAAAAAGTTCACCATTTATGTGTATGTTTTTGTTCTTCTAACTTTCTATATGGAGAAAGAGAAAGATACGGTTGTGCTTTGGTAGCGTAAAGGAATGTGAACAAATTCTTGAAGAATTACTGATGTAAAGAGACCTGACTAGCCATAAATCACATATAAAAGTAACCAAATTGAAAACTGAATCATGATTTTGTTCACGAAGTAAGGTTTGACTACAAGATGTTACCTAACATGGGATGATACTGATTAACAACTATATATACAGCATTTATTAGACACTGATTGACAACTATATACAGGTCAGCATTTATTAGACACTGATTAACAACTTTACAAGTACCTCTGAAATGAATTCACATTAAATTGTGCAGCTTCCATTTACATGGTGGAATGAGGCCATGAATATATTGCATACCAAGTACTCTTAACTGTCTAAGTGGGAAATATACGATTCTCACAAGCTAAGCTTTGGTTGATCTGAGTCAGATGTAGTGATGTTGATAGTATGTAAATCGAACGGCCTGAGCTAACTAGAACTCAAAATTGAAAGGTTGATTTTCATTTGTCAGGTTTTTGGACCATGATGAGCATGCGGGGCTCCAATTCAGCCGAACGGAAGAGTGTTAGAAACACTCTCTTCCTCATTCTCTTTCATACTCTATGACGTTGCTTTCAGTATATTATGCCTTTAACATTGCTTTCTGTATATTTTAAGTTTGATTTTTTGGGTTAGATTTTTCTTGTATTAGATCTATTTATACAAGTAGTATAAAACTAATGTGATTTATAACTTTATGATCAACATATCATTCATGTACATATATATCAGTTTACTACTTGCACTGTTGTACAAGATTCTTCAAGCACTTTGAGAGAGAGAAATCTCAGCAAATTCAAGCACTTTGAGAAAAATTCAGTTTAGGCCAAAACCCTCATCAATAATCCAATTCCTTCAACAGATAGCCATGGATTAACTCTATATTAAGAAGTACAAATGAACAGATCCAATAAAGAAAAGCTTCAATTCATCGATCAACACCAGAAATGCAAGAATTTCCACTAGCTTTGTTGAGCAGAGGCAAGAATTCTCTTGAGCTCCCTGTTGTAAACGCATGGTCGTTCTAGGTTAACAAGATGACCTGCCTTCTCTATTGCCTTCAATGTTGCTTTCTGTCCAACTTGACTGTCAAATAAATTAAATTATTGTCATTAATTATTAGGTTGATGCTGATTCTTTTTCATATTCATATGGTCCCTCTATTTATTACAAGTCAACTGCTCAACTATCTCACTGCCAACTGATCAACACTTCCATATCTTTTTTTTTTAAGAATAATGCGTACTCTTTTCAAATGAAATTCTAATTTTTTTTTTTTTATGATTCGGGTATCTGAGTCAGTTTATGCGTACTTCATTAATCCCGTAAGATCCTAGAACTATGATCGAGTAAGAGCTATAATGGCTACCCCATTAACAACTGAGAAAGAAACTCAAATTCAAAACCTCTTGAATAATATACTTTAGAGTATTTATTGAACTACTCAACAATCAAAAAGTTCTAAATTTTCCATTCCAGATAATATGTTGACTCATGTGGCATTTATATATCATTTAACACCTCAACTACTTCTCATTTACACAACAAAAAACCACGTAAGAGAACACAGGTAATTAAATCGATTAAGTAAACTTACTCTTTCAAATTCCGTGCAGTTTCCATATCGAAAATCAAATCATTTTCACCCCACAAGAGATATACCTTCTGCAATTAATCATTAAATATATGAGAACTTCATTGATGAATAATTGACTAAGATAATCGTTTAATTATTTTTTTTATTTCCAAACCCGGGTCCCTGAATATCTTGAATCGAGATAGCTCAACTAATGCATACTAAATTTAAGCATTTACTAAATCCATCACCTGATTGCATTAAAGATTACGTCTATCGTTCTACTATACTATTAATATCTCGGCTTCAAATAAAATATTATCTTATAACAGAACAGATAAGGCTTCGTTTTATTATTATTTCAAAATTAAATCGATATTCGAAGGGGGAACCATATGTTATCTTTCAAGTCTTATCGAAGTATGAAATCGATAAAATATAGTTGACATTTCAGCTAAGTTATTTACATTATTTGGATTCATCTCAATCATAGAATTTAAATATTTTTTTTTCCATAGTGACGTTAGGTATTTTGTCTTGGTTGACTTAGAATGTCGCGATTGATATATACAATGATGAAATCTCTACGCCAAAATTGATCAAAACCTAGCACCAAAGTCCAAATGAAATGGCCAAAAGTAAATAGTTAATATTAAGAGTAAACGACTTTTTCCCACCCAATGTTTGTCTTAATGACACTTTCCCAACCGAAGTTTATAATTTGTTAATATCCAAAATACCCTTCACTTTCTCAGTTGTCATTCGATGACTTACTAGAAGTCAAGATAAGAGAGGTTTTATAAAGTGAAAGCCAGTTGATCAAATGGTTGTGGTCGATTGAATATTATTCGTTGTAAATCAACTAAGAACAAAAAACTCTAACTTTGCAGTGGCCGACAATCGATAAGAAATCAAGTATTAGAATGTGAGAAATTTTATAGACAAGAGACTGGATATTCAAATAGTGGTGACTGAGAGAATTTTTACTATTAGAATCTGTTTTAGTTAGTAACTGAATATTAACTTTGGATGAAAAAATTGTATTTTAAAACTTTTTGGATGGGAAAGTATCGTTAAGGCAAAACCTTGGGTGGGAAAAAGTCGTTTACTCTTAATATTAATATTGCGTACCTGTGGATAATGAGGGATAGTAAATTCCCTATCACTTATAACCAGAGCCTCTAGAAGTTCAGTTTTCTCCTTTCTGTAGATAGAAATCATCTGCCATTTCATAGTCAACACTCAAACATTCAAATAACCACCATATTAGCTAAGCTACAACTTCAGAGTATGTAAATATGGAGATATCATCATATTTTGTGACAATAGATATTTGTATTAAAGAAAAAAGACTACCTCCAAAATTTCTTTGTAAATGAATTGGGGAAGTCTTGGCAGATTGTAAGTGGCGATGTCAAGGAGAGTCTTCGTACCGTCGGCCGTTTTAGGAAGCAAGTAATCCGGCCAGCTAGAGAAACCGATTCTCTGAAGCGCAGCATTGCTGACAGACTCCGTTAACGCCATGACTGAGCAAGTCACCACCATCGATTCAACCAAGTCAGGGTACATCTCAGCCATTTTGAACGCCACCATCCCGCCATAGCTGAGCCCAACCAAGGTGCACCTCTCCACGCCGAGTTTCCTCAGTCCCCTAGCCATACACTCACTTTGAAACTCCACTGTCCGCTCAGGTCGGTCCGTGAACGAGCCGCCAAAGAAGAGAAAATCCGGAACGTAGACTGCATGCGTTTTGGCCAAGGCTAGCACCTGAAATTGCCAAGTTAGAATACCATCGCATACCCAAACCACGTGGTAAAATACAAAGCCACAGAGCTGGCGTTGTTGTTAGTTGTATCTGTTGGTAAGCAGAAGTTCAAGACTCCGTCCTGGCTGATCTCGAGCTCGTCTGCTTGAGTCGTCATCCCGCGTTTTCAGTGTGCGCTGATGCAAGAGGTTTTGTATATCGACAAAAACTTGACCATTTTTCTATATGGAGTTAAAGACAGATACGATATGTACTTTAAGGAGTAAAAGAAGTGAAAGGTTCCTTGAAAAATTGAGTAGTGGTCTTTAGAAGTCAAGAACTGGCGAGTGAGAGTTTGACTAGCCCTAAAGTAAGAATCTCCATACAACTATTTTGACAGAAAATTCAAGTCGATTTCTATTATAATAAAGAAACATGCTAGGGTAATCCCCATTCCTCCCCCCATAACTAATTCATCTCGGTTCGAAATATCTAACTTGACAGGACTTTATAAAACGCGTTAACATAATATTTTAATGTTTTTTAATATGAGGTGTTAGTGCAAAATTATTATTTTTGCGTCACTAGTCAAATACTCTATTATTAAATTAAAATTAAAAAAATTGTCTAATTGTATTAGCCTGTCCTCTGATCTGACATTTGATAACTTGGCTTTTTCATTAGTTTACGTGGCTACAAGAGTCTTTGCGTAAGGTTTGAGAATACGTCGACTAATCTTTAAGAAAAACCTATCCCGACCGGCCACCAACGGCGATCCAACGGCACAGCAACTATCATCGCAAACTCTTAGATAAATCTGACATACAAGTATTACCTCCACGTCAACGGGAAGTCGAAGCTGGTTATATGCGGTGTTTTTTTTCTTTAATATACTTTTGTAATAATTTCTTCTCATAAGACGTTAGATCTATTGTCTGTATCTGGAATTGGAACTGGTGTGTATTAAATGAATTAAATTAGATTATTAAATATGTTATTAATTGAGAATGAATGCATAAGGTAGTCGCAAGCTGACATTGATATTAAATAGCTATGTTACCATTAATTGTTTAATAAAAAATTTCAACGCCCATTAGGATGAGAAAAAACAAAATATATAATACTTCTCGAATCTAACAAAAAAACAAATAAAAGTTAAGAAACGTCTATAATAAATTCAATGCAAGCAATCATATTCTTGGAAACCTCTAATTGTAGTGACATTTTTTTGTTTGTCTGTCAAAAGAGCAGCGAGAAGTCTCTTGAGGATGCTTGTTGTAGACGAATGGGTCGCTCAGGTTAACCAGAGAATGCACACAGCCTTCTCCCATTAGCCAGTAGCGGTTGCTTCTCCTCCCCACCTGCCGGCATATCGTTATACGTACTGTTTATCATTTATGTGTAGTCCGTAACGGAACCTAAAATCTTACTTATTTCCCAAGTTGTATACGGTTATTTTATATGAGTTGAATGACTATCAACCACCTACGGGTATGGCTTTAATTCGGAAATACCAAATCAAGAAGACGAACTGCTTCTAATATATTATTGAAGAGTAGAGTCATGAAACTCAAAAGCATGGAAAGAGACCTAAGGCGCAAGAGCGAGAGTCCATAACAAGTCAGAAGGGAGTGCATACTGATGCAGCACCCACATCCGCTCCTGTACATACGAGATGGAGAATAGGCCACACGTGCAATACAAAAAGACATAGACATCATTCACAAAATTGTAATCAGCTGAGAATTAGATCTTCCAACTCAACAGGGCAGGATCTGCGGTCACACTCCAGTCTCTATTCTCCCTCACCCACAACACACACCTCAATATAGATTTCTAACTAAACAAAATTACGTATATTAACACTAAACATCTTTATTTTAATTCTTATAATTAACAAACAAAGCAACTCTTTTACTGTCAGCCTGTACAACATCATATGCTTTGCTGTTCCGCAATGAACCTCTTTTGACTACAAACAGACTACCACCCTTCCCAAGCTTTCACAATATCTTCTCCTCCATTTCCATTTTTCTTCATCTTTTCACCTTACCCGCTCCACACTCTAACGCTTTAATCAGATATCTCTCTTAATTCACCACAATCAGCTACGCGTTGAATGCTCGTAATTATTTGATTGAACTGCTGCCACTATCATCCGCGACCCTATCTCACTCATCCTCTATCGTGCATTCAACCACACCCAGAAAATAAGATTAGAATGCTCAAGACTTAAGTCCAAAGGTTTGAACTAACCGAAGAAAACAGAACTAAGTAACCTGAGATTGGAAAGAGTAATGAACTGTAGGTTTTGGAGGAAGTAATTTGAAGGTGCCAAAATGTAAGCCTAAGATCTCTTCAAGTGCAACAATGGACTTTTAGAAACTGACCAGGTCGCCTGGACACTGAATCTTGAGGTTCCATGGATTTTGTATCACAATCACCCTCAATCTCTTTGCCCCACTTGACTTGTTTCGCCTTCACGTCCTCCGTCACAATTTTCAATTTTTATAGGCCCATCCATCTCGTGCCTAAAAGTCCGTTTGCCTTGTCGCTGGAAACCAGAATTCCAAGACCGGTCCCTTGTCGAGTGCCGCGGCCATTGGGTTGTCATTCCACTAGCTTCTACCCCATGTAACAAGGGCTTGTAAATGAGAAAAGGTGACCATACTCTCTGCTTCGATTCGCACTTCCTAATTAATTTCTTAGAGAAGGAGATTTATGAGTAAAACTAGATTCTATGAAATCTATATAATAGTGACGAAAAGGAAGTTGGAAAAAAAAACTTTGTATAAAAGCTATGAATATATGGAGCGTGAGAAAGGGTGGGTAAAAATTGTATTTGACCAGTGATGGTCATGCACGTCGAACCGTGAGAAGGTGTTGAATGACCGCGGTCACAGGTGACGAACTTTTGTTATTTCGTCGAGAGAAGTGGAACATGATGATGCATGCCTGGTTTTGACTTACTTGATTAGTTGGGAGCATGTCTTTGAGTTATGTTCACTGATGATCTCGATATCGTTATCAGTACACTATTGATTTCGATACCAGGCTCGCCAACTAAATGTGATTCTAGAGTGTGCTCCTAAACTATTGCGTACGGGTGATGATTGTATCCTACGATCGTTACGTTATCACTGTTCGTATCCTTGGAAGAATAGCGTTATAAATCGATACGACCGTTATATAATTGGGCTAAACGATCCCAAAAAAAATTCGGGCGGAAACCGGGATCACCCGCCTGATTCACTAAAACCGTTCCACATATATTACCCTATTTAGCTACAGAGAGAGAAAGTGAAGAGAAATATGTAATTTCCCATTTATACATGAATAAGTATGATAAGTGAGACTATAATATGTACATTTCTTGGAATTTCGTGATTATTTTGTATGAATAAATAACTACATTAAAGTCAATAAATACCATGAAAGTCTTTAATAATCTTGGGATTATATTAATTTTACGAAAATTTTGATTATTTAATTAATTTTTTGAAAAGGGCAGGTTCTGTAGACTACGATAGACCGCTGATACACGATTCAAAAATTAGGTTTTCGATACACAACGTATACGGTCATTATTTGGATAACCATGGTTGGAGAATCAATGGCGGCCAAGCAACATGAATTACGTAAGAAGGATAGTCTCATTAACTTGTAATTGGAGACCCATTAGAAAAACGTAGCGTCGCTAGTTGGTAGATGGAGGTTATCTTTCTGGGTTAATTCTATCTAAAAAACTTATTATATACCAAAAGTTCTACTTGGCAACTAGTTTTGGAACATGGTCATGCACGTCCTAAGCGTGAGTAAGTACGTGTTAAAAATTGTATTTGCTCACTGATTTTGGTAACCTATGGTCGAGTCCCTCCACATTAGAGTTAAGCCTTTGAGAATAGTTATAATAATAGTAAGTCCTCATGTAACCTTGTCAATTGTGGAGGCCCTTTAACTCGCTACTAATTTGAGAGAGAGTTAGCTTTTCGAGTTAAATTCTATACAAACCTGGTAAAAACTCATTAATGATACCAAATGTCAATGGTAATTATAGTTTGGAACATGGCTACACGCGTCTAGGGAGTCAAGGGTGTAAAAATTATAATTGACCACTTGATTTTGTTAACCATGTCCGTTCCCTCCACATGGAGTTAGCTTGTAAGAATAAGTTTGACCCGTTCACATCGTCATTTAAAGATTAATATAGTTTGTTCTGTATATAATATATTGGGAGCTTGAGTTGCTACCCAATCCACTGTCAATCAACTTAAGCAAAAAAAAGAAACATTATTAGTGGTGTGTGGTTTAGGTGCAGCTAGTTTTCATATGCTAATTTCCAATTCTTGGCATTATCGGATGATTTCTTAAAAAAAACCAAAAAGTATAATCGAATGCTAAATTCAAAAGACTGAACTTCTCCTCCAATCTTATTGTAAAAAAATGATATCTGCTAAGAGGACATTTGATTACTCATAAAGTGAACAGTCGTAACGTATGATTCAATTTTATAATAATGTTGCGTCAGTTGTCTTGTTTCAGTATAATATATAACACAAAACCTTTCATGAGATCGTTTAACATAATTTCCTACGTGGCTTTTGGCTGTTGTTTTTTTATACCAAAGTGTTTAAATCAGTTTGTACGTACTTCAATAATCTTTGAGGATACATTAACATCTGTAACCCCAATGTTCCAAACAAACGAGACTCATGAAACACCTATAAACTCAATGTTTGTAGGTAAGTTACAACTGTGTTAGTGGACCTCAACGTGATTTAATCCAAAAAATAATGAAAAGAAAAGCTCCTGGATATTTAATTGGGTCTTATTCTTAACGCGGGTTTATAAATAGTATTAATGTGTGATCCTATCGCCACATAAATATATAGAAAAATAAATAAATAAAAATCATATTGTTCAACTTTGAATAGTAGAATCGATATGGACGATGGTAGAGTTGATAGAATGTTTTAAGGGTATATATTTTTAATATCTTAAATTCTCAATTAATGATTATTTAAGTTTGATAATCGCTATGAAAACAAAAACACAGCTGGTGATGGTTGTAAGCATAGTTAGAAATACGGGTACGTAAAAAAAAATGGTACGGGAATTTTACGGGAATGATACGGCAAACGGTGAAAAAACGTTTATAAAAATTCGCGACTTTTAAAAATTGGATACGAGAAAAATATGGTATGGGTAATTATGGGGTTAATACGGTATATTGTCAATAATACGTTTTGAAAAATACGGTAATATTAATCCTGATTTTAGTATTTTTTATGATCATTGAATTAATTATTCTCTATTTTTCTTCATAGGTGTATGATTTATATTTTTTTAATTATAATATTTTAGTTTATTATTACAAATATTATAGAAGTGATCAATTATTAAATAAAACAAATAATTTTATTTGTCTTTTAAGTTGAAGAAGAAGAAGATAAGATAAACAGTGGTGTTTGTTGAAGTATAGTTGAAGAGGAAGAGAGGTAGAGACGCCAAAAAAGAGCAGAAAAGAGAGAGGTCACAAAAAAAGAGAAGAAGAAAGAAGAGGGCGCCAAAAGAAAGAAGAGGGCGCCAAAAGAAAGAAAGAGAAAGGAAGCGGGCGCAGAAAGGGAAGAAAAGGCGTCAAAAAGAGACTGACATTGCGCTTAAAAGATTGAGCATAAAACGACGTCGTTTTGATCAAATTTCACCTAAAACAACGTTGTTTTGACTCAATAAATAATAAAATTTTATTTTTAAAAATACGGCCAAATTATACGAGAATTATACGACTAAGGCATATAATTCGCGTATAATTCAACTGTGTTTATAGAATACGGGAATTCGTGTTTTATATGCGAATTATACAGTTGGGCGCATAATTCGCGTATAAAACGCGAATTTACTAACAGGGGTCTTGTAAGTGTTGGTCGTCAACCGCCTTGTGATGAAATACAATTTCCGGTCAACAGCCTCGCTCAGAGGCCCAAGTAAGCAGCCAACTGAAGTAGCTCAACAATTAAGAAACAAATTAATGACCCCATTAATTGCTCCCTTAATCATGCTTAAACATAGCCTCTGTATTTAATTAATAAAGCGTTATCTGGACTAAATTTTCCTATCATATAACCGAGTTTTTATGAGTAATGTTACACTGACAAATACTTCTCACTAACTTTCTCTCATAAACGCAATGTGTCAGCTCGCATGAGTCTTGTCTGACTAAGCCAATTGCTAGCTGTCAAATCATGTTTGTCAGGCAATCTTTATTCAGTTTTTATCGAGAGTAAACGACTTTTTCCCATTCAAAAAATTTCAAAATACCACTTTTCCATCCAAAGTTTATATTCCGACCAATCGTTAGCCGATTATGACATCTTTGCAACCCCAAACCACCACCATTCTCTTTCTCGATCATCACTCATCAAAACCCTTCAAACCTTACTCCCGTCGACCTTGTCAATCATTGGCAACTAAGTGATTTTTGAAACGTGCAACCACCCCTCCCAAGTCAAATTCGACCAATCTCGACCACCAAAATCCAATACACCACCATCAAAAGATTCACCAATATCTTCTCTTCAAAATCCACAAGAGACTGGATGAAGTTTGCTCTTCGTTGGCCACCGAATCGGAAAATGTATTATGGGTAGTCAACGAAATATAAATTTTGGATGGGAAAAGTAGTATTTTAAAACTTTTAGGATGGGAAATTGTCATTAAGGCAAACCTTGGGTGGAAAAGTCGTTCTCTTTTATTGAAAGGAAAACATATTCTCTATGTTAGGTGCCCTGTTCGTCCCTGTTCTCTCTGTGTGTCACATGTATATGATTTACCTTTCCAATACAAGTAACCCCATCTCAAGCAACATGAATATATGATTTCTGAAATCAAGGCAGATGTATGTTTTGTATAATCAAGAAACACATCTCATCATATGAAATTCGTGAAAAATGTTTCAATCACAAATTTTATTTCTCAACTTTATTTCATTAAAATTCACTTAACCCAATTTTCAATGGCAAATTAAACTTGTCAAAAACACTATCATAATTCCTACTTGTAGGCATGGGCCTAGTTAGTAAATATGGGTACGGCAAAAAAAGGGTACGAGAATTCTACAGGTATAATACGACAAATAATGAAAAATACGTTTATAAAAATTCGGTCATAAAATTCAGATACGGGAAAAATACTGTATGGGTATATACGGGTTTAATACGGTGCATTATCAATAATACGTTTTGAAAAATATGGTACTATCAATCTTAGTTTTAACACTTTTATGGACTACCTGGTTAAAATCAATATAACATTTCAAATGCAAAGTATTCAATTAACCAATAACACAAATACATAATATATAAATATAACCGATATTCAAATTATAATCTTTAGACTCAAACATAATATTTAACCAAGATTCAACTATAGTGTCAAATCAAACACGTAAGTCGTAACAAAATCAAAATTCAAAGTCAATAAGAGCTCCAAACAAATAAAATATATAAATAATATAACCAAGATTCAAATTATAATTTATAACAAAAACTCACAAATTACGTAAACAACAATAAGTACTGACAGCGCCACAATCCACCGTAATCTGCCATAATCTGCAACAAATCTACCATAGGTCCACAACCCACCATAATCCACCACAAATTTACCAGAATTCGCCACAAAGCAAACCCAAGGCAGCGGTTTACTTAAATCCCATTACAAAAACAAGAAAGCAATCTCATTGCCGGAAACTATTTACAAAATATCCCAAAAGTTGGTTCCCAAAATGATTTCCCAGCACACATTTGCTTCACCCAATGGATAAGTTCACCCCTGGCATGGATCATCACCACGACCAAGAGGCACATCTACGCGTCTCCGGTCGCGGCCAACCACCCTAGCTAAAGCCTATAACTAATTTTTTGCCGTTTTAATTCTTAGATCTAGAAATCAAAAAGATATTTGTCGATTGTTAGAGAAGAGCAACTGTAAAAGAAGAAGATTGAGGAACAAAGGGAAGACAAAGAAGAGAGATCAAATTGATTTAGTTTGAGTTAATTGTTTCTGCAAAATAAAAATATTATATTGTTCTTGAATTAAATTGTTCGTGTGGAAGAAATTTAGAGATGGAATTTTCTGAAGAAAATGGAGAGAGTGCAGAAGAAATTTAGGGAGAGCTGAAACCGTGAAGAACTGAGGAAGAAAAGCTGAAGAAGAACTGAGGAAAAAGAAGAGCCGAATTGAGGAAGAAGAAGTGAAGAGCTGAAGAAGAACCGAAGCGGAGAGATCTGTTTTAATTTTCAGTAAAAACTAGGGGTGTTCAAAAGAACCGGTTGGAACCGGAACCGGCAGGTACCCTGGGTTTGGTTCCGGTTCCTACCCAGAACTAGTCGTCAATGGGTAGGTTCCGGTTCCAAATTTTTGGAACCGTTACTGTGCGGTTCCAGTTCCTGTTCCTATAGTTAGGAACCAGAACCGGAACCAGGAACCAGGAACCAAGACTAATATAAAATAAAATTAAAGATTAGGGGAGTTAATATAAACTTTTGTAGAAAAAGTAATGTGAATACATTTATATTTATATTTCATAACATTTAAAGTTAGTTGGTTTGACTTTTGAAAATCTACCTTTACAAAGTAATGGAGTTTGTAATTTTGAATTTATAATTTGTAATTTTATTTTTGTTAACAAGTGCCAAGTGGGGGGGTATTTGTAAGTTTTTAAAGGTTTTTTTGTCATTTTAAAAACTTTTGGGAGGTCAGGTAATTTTACAGGGTACCCAGAACCGGAACCGGAACCGTTGTTACAGGTTCTGGTTCTGGGTACCTAGGAACCGGAACCGTCAGTTCTGGTTCTGGTTCCAAATTTCAAGGAACCATCGGTTCCGGTTCCGGTTCCTTCAAAAAGTGTAGGGTACCTGGAACCGAACACCCCTAGTAAAAACCCACTAAACCGACATTGTTTTGGGGGTTTTGTTTTTTCTTTTTTAATAATTCGGGAATTATTCGCGTTCGCGAATTATTCGGAAAGTCTTATTATACGCGAATTATACGACAGATTTTATAAAATACATATACGTGTGTTTTATACGTGAATTATACGGTTGTCCATACAATTCACGTATAATACGCGTTTTTACTAACTAGGGACATGAGTACTTGGCATTGTTAAATATAATCTTCAAAATCTATTGCTATAATGACTTCTTGACTAAGAGATTCATTAAAGTCAAAACACTCATGAATCAGTTTTTTTTTCTTTTTCCGTGTTTTCTCAATCAATTTATACGTATATCAACTACTCTACGAGGTTTATTAAACAACTTATAAAGCCCAATAAGCATAAATATAATAGGTGATAACTTTATATAACTGGAACACAAAAAGCCCAATCCAAGGTTTCCCTTAAATGACACTTTCACACCTAAAAAGTTTCAAAATACTAGTTAATATCCAAAATACATTTCACTTTCTCAGCTAATGTTCGGTGAGTTATCAGAAGTCAAGGTAAGAGTGATTTTATACAGTGAAGATCAGTGGATCAAATGGTGGTGATCGATTAAATGTTTATTATCAAAATTAGCCGAAAATGAACTAAGAACATGAAACCTTAGCTTCGCGATGGCTAGCAATCATCTAAAAATCAAATGCCGAACTGATAGGGGTTTTGTAGTGATACAGAAAATTTTTGCTACTGGGATCAGCCAGAATAGACTTTGGATAGTAACGAAATATTAAGGAAAGTTATTTTTTGAAACTTTTTGAGTGAAAAAGTGTTGTTAAGGCAAACCTGGGGTGGAAAAAAGTTGTTTACTCTTAATATTAATATTGAGTACTTGTGGATAACGAGGGATAGTAAATTCCCTATCGAGTAATGCTACGTTTACACCATTTTTTAACACCATTTTCATTACATGATGTGGCATATGCCACAACTACACAAATTCTATTATAATATTAAAAGTTTAAAATAATTAAAAATTTGTGTGATTATGACATATGACACATCATGATGTAATGAATATAGTGTAAAAGAGTGGTGTAAATGTAGCATTACTCATTCCCTATCACTTATAACCAGAGCCTCAGTTTTCTCCTTTCTGTAGATAGAAATCGTCTGCCATTTCATAGTTAACACTCAAACATTCAAATAACAACCATATTAGCTAAGCTACAACTTCACAGTATGTAAACTGGAGATATCATCATATTTCGTGACAATGGATATTTGTATTAAAGAAAAAAGAGTACCTCCAAAATTTCTTTGTAAATGAATTGGGGAAGTCTTGGCAGATTGTAAGTGGCGATGTCAAGGAGAGTCTTCGCACCGTCGGCCGTTTTAGGAAGCAAGTAATCCGGCCAGCTAGAGAAACCGATTCTATGAAGCGCAGCATTGCTGACAGACTCCGTTAACGCCATGACTGAGCAAGTCACCACCATCGATTCAACCAAGTCAGGGTACATCTCAGCCATTTTGAACGCCACCATCCCGCCATAACTGAGCCCAACCAAGGTGCACCTCTCCACGCCGAGTTTCCTCAGTCCACTAGCCATACACTCACTTTGAAACTCCACTGTCCGCTCAGGTCGGTCCGTGAACGAGCCGCCAAAGAAGAGAAAATCCGGAACGTAGACTGCATACGTTTTGGCCAAGGCTAGCACCTGAAATTGCCAAGTTAGAATACCATCGAACGCAAACCCGTGAAGAAACACCAGAGCTGGCTTGTTGTTAGTTGTATCTGTTGGAAGCCAGAAGTTCAAGACCGTCCCTGGCTCGATCTCGACTGCTTGAGTCGTCATCCCGACTAGCTTCATTGCGCCATGCAAGAAGGATTTGTGTATCGACAAAAACTTTCCCATTTTTCTTTATGGAGGTAAAGAAAGATACGACAGTACTTTAATAATGAGTGTTAGTTCAAAATTTATTAGTTTATGTCACTTAAGTCAAATATATCTATTGAAATTAAAAAATTTTCTAAGTCGTATTAGTTGTCCTCTGATCTTGACATTTTATACTTGGCTTTTTACATTAGTTTAAGTCTCTTAATTCATCACCATCATATATGGATGGTGGCTACAAGAATTTGGAGTAATGTCTTTTTTTTTTTTTTTTTTTTTTAGGGGTTAACTGAGTTGTTCAGGTCGGTTTGAGCGTACATCGACTAATCTTTTAGAATAAAAACTATCTCACAGGCCACAGCAATCCATCATCACAGACTCTTAGGTAAATCATGAACAAAAGTATCACTTTCACGACTTAATTGGAAATTGAACCTGGTAATGGGTGCTTTTTTTCTTTAATATATTTTTAATAATTTCTTCTATAAGACATAGATCTATTTCTATATCTGAAGAATAATCAAACTGTATGTATATAACATAATCTTATTAGAATTAATTAAATATACTTAGTCTATGGATGATGCATAGTAGTCGCAAGCTAAGCTTGATATTAAATAGCTATGGTACCATTAATTTCTTAATAATAAAATGCAACTCCCATGTAGGATGAGAAAAAACAAATATAAATACATTCTCGAATCTCAAAAAAAACAACTAAAGTTAAGCAAACTCTTATAAATTAATACACAGAATGATATTCTTGGAAAACCCTCTAATTGTAGTGACATTTTTGTTCTTCTGTCAAAGCAGCGAGAATTCTCTTGAGGTGCTTGTTGTAGACGAAGGGTCGCTCCAGGTTAACCAGGTGACCAGCCTTCTCTATTGCCAGTAAGGTTGCTTTCTCTCCCACCTGCCTGCATTATCGTTATAGTACTTGTCATTTATTGTTTAGTCGATAAAGGAAACTAAAATCTGAAATTATTTCCTAAGTTGTATACGTATTTATTTAATGATGAATTGAATGACTACTCAACCACCTCATGGTTATGGAATTTAATTTCGAAATATCAAATCAAGAAAACGTGTTCAAAAAAATACATTGAAATCAACGAAATCTTAAGCCAGCTAGGCTTTGATCAATAATTTATGTATTAAGATTAAGTTAACTCACTCTTTCAATTTCCGGGCAGTTTCCATATCGAAAATCAGATCATTTTCACCCCACAAGAGATATATCTTCTGCAAAAATTTAAACCAATATATAGTAATTAGATAACATATACAAGGAAATAGCCTGTAGAAGATGTAGAATTCATTACCTGTGGGTAATGAGGAATGGAGAATTTCTTATCACTTATCACCAACGCCTCTAGAAGTTCAGTTCTCTCCTTTCTGTGATCAAACATGACCTGCCCACGTAGTGGAAAATATAAATGGCAGTATTTAGAAACCTCTTGAACCTCAATAGATCTTCATATTTCATGAATGAAACTAAACGATATATTTACCTCCAAAATGTCTTCGCTGATGAATTTAGGCACTCTCGGCAAGTTGTAGCTGCCGATGTCAAAGAGGGTCCTCAAACCCTCGACTGTATTTGGAAGCAAAAACTCTGCCCAAGAAGAGAACCCGATTCTCTGAAGCGCGGCATTGCTTACAGACTCAGTCAACGCCATGACTGAGCAACTCACCACCATCGACTCAACCAAGTCCGGATACATTTCAGCCATTTTGAACCCAACCATCCCACCGTAGCTGACTCCAACAAGAGTGCACTTCTCCACTCCGAGCTTCCTCAGCCCTTCAGCCATACACTCACTCTGAAACTCCACCGTCCGCTCAGGTCGGTCAGTAACTGAACCGCCGAAGAAGAGAAAATCCGGAACGTAGACTGCATAGTTTTTGGCCAAGGCGAACACCTGGAATTGCCAGTTTAGAATGCCATCCATGTCAAATCCATGAAGAAACACCACGGCAGGCTTGTTTGTTTTGTTCTTCGTCTTCTTAGTCGTTTCAGTTGGAACCCAGAAGTTCAAGACCGTCCCTGGTTCGATCTCGACGGCTTGGGTTGTCATCCCAACTAGCTTCAGTACACCATGTAACAAGGGCTTGTAAATGGAGAAAAAGTTGACCATCTCTCTGTCTTCTTCGCACTTCTAATTAATTTCTAGAGAGAAGATTTATGAGAAAGCTCAGATTCTATAATCTATATATATAGTGACGAAAAGGAATGTGAAACTCTGATAAAAATCTATGAAACATATAGCTCAACTGCTCAAGAAATCTCCTACGTTGCTTCGGTCTGAGGTCAAACATTCTATGTGAGGTCAGCTAAATTTGCCCTTAGGATTAGAATAAATAAATCATTTTGATAAGTTCAATTAGGTTAAAAGTAAAAGTCAAATCGAAATAAAACTCAAATCGAAATTCCAATTATAATTTTGTTGAATGAAGGTGTAGGGGTTGACGGAATTTTTTATTCGTTAGAGAGTGTGAAAATATGATGCTGGTTTTGACTCACTTGATTAGTTGGGAGATCAATGGGCGGCCAAGTCAAACATGAATTATGTAAGAAGTAAGTTGTGTTTGTCAACTATCATTAACTTGGTCAATTTGGTAGACGGTTATAACACGCCGCTAATTTGGTAAGGAGCTAGGGTCCGTAGGTTTATTATTATGATAGTTTTTAGAATAATATTTTGAAAAAAGTTAAACAAGACGGGTATTATGATATAGGATTTAAAAATTAACAAAAATACCTCATATGTTTGTTTAGTTACTAAAGACCCCTATAATAAAATCTTAAAAGTTAATAAAAACACTCTCAACCCACCATTAAATATGGACAGCCAGTCACCACCACCAGAGGGTGGCCGGAGTCACCGTATCGGCACATGACCGATTGGATCTTACCAATCGTGTGCCGATATGGCATTTTCCGGCCAGATCCACGGTGGATCTAGCCGAAAAATGTCAGATCTACGGCTAGATCTGGCCATTGACGATCAGATCTGGCCGCCATCAACGATAGCCGTATCTTTGGCCATCGTTGACGACTGGTTACGGCCAAAGGCCAATTCTTTGGCCGTAGATCTAGCATTTTTCGGCCATATCCACTATGGATCTGACCAGAAAAGGCTAGATCGGTGCACTACTGGGCAGATTCAGCCTGTAGTGCACCATTATACCAGATTCCGGCCACCTTCCAACAGTGGTGGCCGAAATCTAGTAAATATGGGTTGTTGGGGTGTTTTTGCAATTTCTAAAAAAAATATTTGGGGGTATTTAGTTAAAGTAACAAATTTAGGGGGTTAAAAATAAATTGAATAATATAGAATAATATTGTGAGAATATGTCAATTTTACTGTTTAACTTTATTGCGAAAACTAATAATAGCATTCCCAAGAGTGTAACAAATGGACCCTTAGCTTTTGAGGGTTAAGTTTTACCCAAAAACTCTATTATAATACCAAAGTCATTGGCGATGATAGATTTAGACCAAGGTCATGCACGTCAAGTGTGAGAAAGGGTGTTAGAAAATGTAATTATTTCATATCGTTAATTTGGTAAGTTGTTATGTATATATACGTGGTTAGACTCCCTCTACATAAGAGTTAGTTTTTAAAAGTAAGTTCTACCCACTCACATCGCCAATTTAATAGATTATATATATATATATATATAGTATATATATTATATAATTATTATATATAGAGTTGGGAGCTTGGGCTCCGTTGGTTCACAATTTGTGTTTTTGGAAAGTTTTTGAAAAAAGTTAAAAAAAAGTTGAATTGGGCGGGTATTACGATGTAGGATTTAAATTCATAAAATATCCCCTATGTTTGTTTTTTTACAAAACACCCCTTATAATAAAACATTAAAAGTTAACAAAAACACCCCCAATCCACCCTCAAATACGGACAGCCGGCCACCACCACCGGAGGGTGGCCGGAGTCGCCGTAACAAAAACATTAAAAATATTTAGGGGTATTTAATTGAATTAATAAATTTAGGGGGTTTAAAAAATGTTGAATAAAGTTAAATAATATTATGAGTTTTTGGGTATTTTACTGTTTAACTTTTTTGGGAATACTAAAAGTAGTATTCCCAAAATCCAACCAAACGAAGCCTTGAGTTCTACCAATCCACTTTATAAAAAACATTATTAGTGGGTGGTTTAGGGCAACTAGTTTTCATATGCTAATTCCTTGTCTTCATCGATATTATTCTTGAAAAAACAAAAATTTAACGAATCTAAATTCAAAACTGAACTTCTTCACTCGTATTAAAAAAATGATATCTATACGGAAATTTGATTATCATAAAGTTGAACATCTTAACTGGGATTCAATTTATCCAATAACTTTTCAATATTTGTTTCGTATTAGATTATATAAATAAAACAAAACCATTTATGAGATTCCTATGAATTAATTTCTCATTGGATTTTGTAGCTCGGGTTTTTTTATGACCGAAGTGTTTAAGCCAGTTTATATGCACTTCAACTAATCTTTAAGATACATTAAACACCTCATAAGCCCGGTTCTCCAAGTAAACAGAATTATTGAACCCCTACAAACCCAATGTTTTAGGTAAACCACAGATGTGATTAGCTTCAATGTGGTTTAAACCAAAAAAATCAATAAAAATAATAAATTTTCCTGGATGTTTAATTTGTTCTTATTCTTAACGTCAGTTTTATAAGTAGTATTAGTTGTGATCCACTCCACATAAATATATAGAAAAATAAATAAATAAAAATCATATCGTTCAACTCTGTGAATTAAGAATCAGGTATGGACGATTGGTAGGTTGATAGAATGTTCAAGGGTGTATATTTTTAATATCTTCTTAATTAATGATTATTTAAGTTTGATAATCGCTATAAAAACAAAACACGGCTGGTGACTGGTTGTAAGTGTTGGTCGTCGGCCGCCTTGTGATGAAATACAATTTCCGGTCAACAGTCTCGTTGGGAGGCCCAAGCAAGCAGCCAAGTAAAGTAGCTCAACAATTAAGAAACAAATTAATGACCCCATTAATTGCTCCCTTAATCATGCTTAAACATAGCCTCTGTATTTAATTAATAAAGCGTTATCTGGACTAAATTGTCCTATAATATAATCGAGTTTTGATGAGTAATACTACACTAACAAACACTTCTCATTAACTTTTTATTACAAACGCGACGTGTCAGTTCGTAATTAATCAGTTCACATGAGTCCCACGTGACCAAGCCAATTGCGAGCTATCACGTTGCATTTGTGAGAAGTGTTTGTCATGCTATCTTTATTCAGTTTTTATTAAGAGTAAACGATTTTTTCTCACCCAAAAAATTTCAAAATACCACTTTCCCACCCAAAGTTTATATTATGACCAATCGTCAGCTGATTTTGACATCTTTGCAATCTCAAACCACTATCATTCTCTTCTCTGATCATTACTCACTAAAACCTCTCAAACTTTGCTCCCGTCGATTCTATCAATAGCCAGCAATTGAGCGATTTGTGAAACACGCAACTGCCCCTCTCAAGTCAGATTTAATTAATTCCAACTACCAAAATCTAATATACCATCATCAAAAGATTTCGATATCCTCTCTTCAAAATCCACAACATGCTGGATGAAGTTTGCTGTTTGTTAGCCACCGAATTGAAAACATAATATAAATTTATTGAAAACATAATATAAATTTTGGGTAGGGAAAATGGTATTTTAAAACTTTTAGGATGGGAAAGTGTCAGCAAACCTTGGGGTTGAAAAATTCGTTCTCTTTTATTGAAAGGTAAACATATTCTCTATGTTAGGTGCCCTGTTCTACTCTGTTCTCTCTGTGTCACATCACATGTACATGATTTACATTTCCAATACAAGTAACCCCATCTCAAGCAACAGGAATATATGATTTCTGAAATCAAGGCACATGTATGTTTTGTATAATCAAGAAACACATCTCATCATATGAAATTCGTGAAAAATATTTCAATCACAAATTTTATTTCTCAACTTTATTTCATTAAAATTCACTTAACCCAATTTTCAATGGCAAATTAAACTTGTCAAAGACACTATCATAATTCCTACTTGCAGATGAATCCATGGCATTGTCAAATATAATCTTCAAAATCTATTGCTATAATGACTTCTTGACTACGAGATTCATTAAAGTCAAAACACTCATGAATCGTTTTTTTTTTTTTTTTTTTTTTTTTTAACCGAGTATCCTACCCAGTTTATACGTATCTCAACTATTCTCCGAAGTTTATTCAACAACTTACAAAGCCCAATAGTCATAAATGTGATAGGTGACCATTTTGTGTAACTCGAATACAAAAACCTCTAGATAACCCAGAGTCTTGCCATCTAGCCACAAACTAAGTGATTTCCATGAATTGGGTTTTCTAATTTCAGTCGAATAATGCTAGATCCATAACTCAATCTCACAACCCCCGCCATGACAGCTCGTCATTAGTCAGCTCACAAAATGAGTCCTGCCTACCTGTATGGATCTCGCCGACCCATATGTGAGCTAACCAGTGACAAGTTATTACGTCGAGAGTTGTAAGAAAAGGTTATGGACCTAAGTATTTGTTTTGCTTAAGCAACTAAATCCAAATGATTTCAAGCCCATAGTTTAAACAGTAGCCGCAAAATTATTTCACAAGTAAACTACAATACACAAAGCAGAATCACATGGTAACCACACAAGTGTACAAATCTACATTTATGAATGACAACAATGGTTTCTTATGCCAGACTCTACCCAGTTAGAACACACCAAAAAACATCCCATAATTGGGTCGATACAGATACAGATCTGGGAAAAGAAGTAGCCCTCAACAAGCTATAGCGAAATAAGGTTAAGGACGGTCTGGATAATTCATAGTTGAAAGCGAAGTTCTTGCTTCTAGTTGAAGACATTCACAAAGAGCAATCTTGGTCCACAACAGATGGTAGAATGCATATGAACATCATAAACTGGAAGGATTCATGTTAGAAGTTGAAGAACAAACAAATATCAAGTTTTTATGACAAGAAAAACCAATGAGAAGCTAATGATAACTTCGAGAATTCTGTAAAGTATGGGGCCACACATCTAGAATAAAGAAAAGCCACTTTCGGTAAGTTGGGCACCAGATAGGACATTATCTCATGGCAAGCCAATTCTCATGGAAAAAAGTTTGGCCTGGACAGAAACCGCTTGAGATGGATGCCTCATGCCAATAATGTTGATGAAAGCAACTTCAAAACAGTAAGTTATGAGACTATAGAAGCTAAAACATTGGATGTATCAATAGAAACCATGTAATTGAGGATAAAGTAAAAGCAGATGCCAGAGTAAAATAAAGATAATGAAATTCCAATAGAGAGCATATTTTACAGTGACTTAATACTGCCTTAAAACATGACTATATACAAAGTTATGGAAAGATAAGTAGAATAAATTCATCTACGTTAGCATTTTAAGTACAAGCACTTCCATTCAGCATAAATATTATCAAAGCATCAAAGTACAAGAACCCAGGTTCATAACCAAGACACTCAAGCAAACTATAGAAGTCGACATTATGAGTTTGAAGACCAGATAGCACATGAAGTGACCCAAAAAAATTAGGAACAATGACCCCAAAAAAAGAAAATTCGGAAGGTAACAACAGAAGACACAATAATAACTTAGTTAATCTGTCAAGATACGCTTCTCTATATGAAGATTCTCTAACTGAATTGTGGTTTGAGCTATAGAACTAACTCCACTGGATACCTGTGAATGCAATCTTCCCATGGACTATTGAAAGAAGGTTTCACATTCCTGAGGGCCTGCCAGACTGCACTGTTACACTTGAAACCACTTCCAAAAGCAATCTGCCAAACACGATGCCCCTTTCGCATCCTTCCTTTTGCCTCTGTGTATGCCAACTCGTACCAAATTGAGCTTGACGAAGTGTTGCCAAACCGATGTAAAGTCATCCTAGATGCCTCAACATGTACTGGGAGAAGCTGCAAATTCTTCTCAAGCTCATCAATCACAGCTCTTCCCCCGGCATGAATGCAGAAGTGCTCAAAAGCAAGCTTAAAATCAGGAATATAAGGCTTGACTTTTGCATTAAACAACTTCTTGGAAACCAAAGTGGCAAAAAAGAGAAGTTGCTCACTTATGGGAAGAACAAGGGGACCTAATGTAGTGATGTTAGTCTTAAGGGCCAAACCAGCAATAGCCATTAAATCCTTGGACAAGGAAACCCCCGTTTTCCCAATATCATCCTGCTCCTGATAAACACATTTAAATGCATTATCATCAGCCCCCTTATGTGTCCTCACAACATGAACAAGCTTGTACTTAGCGCAGCGCCTATCCTTAGCTTTATTTGATAACAATACTGCAGCACCTCCAACTCTAAACAAACAATTGGGAATTAACATTGATTTTTTGTTTCCAAAGTACCAATTCTGGGTGATATTTTCAGTACTAACAACAACTGCACAAGTATTTCTATGAACTTGCAACATATCCTTCGCAAGATCAATAGCAATGACTCCAGCACTACACCCCATACCACCAAGATTGAAACTCCTTATATTGCCCCTCAATTTATACTTATTAACAATCATAGCAGATAATGAAGGTGTTGGATTAAACAAACTACAATTAACAACGAGAATGCCAATATCTTTAGGTTTGACATTAGTATTAGCAAAAAGATTATCCAAAGCACCAAACATCACCTGCTCTGCCTCTTCCCTGGCTGCAGCCATTGAAGGCCTTGGAGGAATATGATGCATAGCCTCGGGAACATAAGTTTCTTCACCAAGACCTGATCTTTCCAAAATCTTGCGCTGAAACTCCAATGATGATTCATCAAAATCACCAGTGAGTCTCGAATGCTCCATAAACTTCTTATATCTGACTTGCAAATGAGAGGGAGGACGGTAACAGGAATAGTCAACCAAATAAATGGATCTGGGTCGGGTCATTATATAAACGGTGGATCCAAAAACAAGAAAAGCAGAACAAATAATGACACTGACGAGATTGTATTTAAGATGAAGCCATAGATGGTGAATGTCATCTGGGTTCATTTGAGAGGCCTCAATGATAATGACCGCCATTAACGGAACTAACAGAAGGGTCAAAAGATGAGTCATCAAGTAATGATAACCCAACTTCACATATTTCAAGTTCACACTTTGGAGAAAATCCGGCAGTCTCCTACTCTGCTGGATCTGAACTCCGCCACCATTCGACTCAGTAGTACTCATGGCTGCCACTCCCAGTATAAAACTCACAAAAATGAAATAAAAAAAAAAGCTTTCTTTGAAGTGGGTTTTTTTCTCAGGGCTGGAGGGTTTATATGGTGAACACAGAAAGAACTGGAACAAGAACGTACAGAAAACGGATCTGCTAAGAAAATATTTTTAAAAAGAAAACAAGTTTCAAACTTGGATGCTGAGAAAGGATGTTTGAGTTGGATGGGTTTAGAGCAGGTTAGATACAACTACAACAACGACCAAAAAGCCATAATGAAACACGTAGATTGATGATGATGACGATGAGATTGATATAGAAAAAAGAGAGAGAGAGGTGGCTGAGAAAGTGGGAGTTTTTGCTGCGTTTGTTGTGTTCTGCCTCTGCTACCTCTCTCTCTCTTTCTCTCTTTCTCTCTGTTTAATCAATCTATGACCAGCTATGTAGAGTATGTATATGAAGAATCGTGAAAGCAACGAGCAAGGCACATGGTAAATGTTTTGTGGAAGCGAGGGCGGATGTTCAACTCTGTCGAGAGAGTCAAACCTTGAGTTTTGCAGAACTTTCAAAGTTCCTTCCTTTTACGTCATTATTA